AATTAATAGAGAGAAGTGTCCTCTCTTATGTCCGTGCTTGGACGACGCTATATATACGTGTATATAGAGAGGACTAAACACGCTAGCTAGTAAGCAAATAAAGGAAACAGAAGATCGTCGTGAACATATGCATACAGAGAGAAGTGATATCGACCACCTCTCCTTCTCCGAGAGATTGGTCGGACAACAAGTTCTCGTATATCTATCCGACACTACCGGCTACATATATACAATAATTATCTCTTACAATATAATCTCCTAATTATATATGAACACATGGTCCATATAGTATTCTCCGTCTTCAGCGATCACGTGGTCAAGGAAGAATGCCGCCAATTCCTTTTGAATTGCTCGCATACGAACTGGTTCTAGGAGTTCATCCCGCATCCGAAACATCTAATTTGAACAAGGGGGTCAATATATATATATATAGTGTTACTATTCATCACCCAGGGTGCAGAATAAGTTTTATTCACCCGAGGTAATCTTACGATCATTTCATAATTAAATTACGTGTGGAATTCAAATAGTTACATTCTTATTGATTCACTACGTAAAATTTGACATAAGAAAATAGAAATATAGGTCATAAAACAATAAAATTTGTAGTTTATGTGTATTTTAGACTATGTTTTTACGCTTGTAATTTTACATAACACAAAATATTTTTTACGGCGATTATATATTTTTTACGGTCCCTTTTTGCGTCGGAAATAAGACAAAACTTACGGAACGTAAAATTACGGTGCATTGATGGTAAAATAAAGGGGGTGAAGAATAATAATTCCTCACCCAGGGTGACGAATAGCGCGACCCTCGTTCACAAATCGTGTGGCGGATGGACTCACAAACGTAGTATCCACAGTAATTATTCCCGGGTTCCTGCCACAACCACTTTACAAGAAATAGAGGTCAATCAAACTGATAAGCAAGCATGCTATAAATGGTATTGATGAAACTAGCGCTTGAATCACTAGGAGATGCGTGGAACATGTTACTATAGTACTTACTTTCAGGTGTTTAAATTGCAGCTTCTTCGGCAGTCCCGGAGCTTTTTTGGTGAATTTTCTCCAAACCCTGCGAGACAAAGAAAACAATTACTTGATATATCAGAAAATGAACAAAGTTGCTGATATGGTGGATAATGATCGATTTAACTTACTTCTTGAGCATTTGAGTCATGTCCGCATAGTCGTGAGGATCTTTTCGTCTCGAGTTTAAGACGGTTACTAGTCCCTACTCAAGCTTAATCTCTAGGAGAATATAGTGGAAGCTACGCACGCATGCATAACTCATCAATTACATTACTATAACCTAGACTAATAAGGGAAACCGAATATGCACAAGACAGTAACACTCACTTGAAGTTGTAAGGAAAGAGTATTATATCTTTGTTTTCATTTATTACCAACGATCGTAGCAAGTTGGCCTCGGTATCTTCGGCACAATATTTAACCTCAGTTGCATCTATGAGATTTGTGTTAATGAACCCAATATCACCGATTTGTATTTTCTTCGATTCGGCGATCTTCAATCTACATAATATAGTGAGGATAATTATAAATATATGCAATGAAAGACCTGACCTATATAGAGAGACTTAATGACAGAAGTAGTACTACTTACAGACAGTAGCAAGTGACCGTTTCTTTATCGATGGCCGTTTGATTGAAAAACTGGAAGAACTCCTCAAATGGAACATTCAACAGTTCAATTCTAACGAGGTCATGCTCCTCTCTAACTCTCAGTGTCAAAGTATTCCTCCCCCCAGACTCTCTGCAGGTTTTCATGTACCAATCATGGAATCTTTGCATCATCGTTGTTAGAGATCTTTCATTTGATGAGAGGCTTCCCGTACTCGTATTTGTGTTCCTCCACCTCCAAGAACTCATAATGTACATTGTCGGGCAGGTAATCTCCAAGATTGCTATAACCGGGCACCATCCTCAGATCATTAGTAGGCACCTTGAGCGGGGGGCACGATTGCTTCGCTTGTTCACCGAGCTGGGGAATTTTTTCCCAGCTCGTCGTTCTTTTAACTTTTGATCACTGACAGTACTTCCCGACCGCTCCGCTTCGACAAATGACTTTGCAATAATGCGGTCATAGTTGCCTTTCGGCGAAGACTTTGCTGGGTTTTTAGGGCAGCCAGAGTGCGCTTCGCTTTCACCGAATCTACCTTCTCCTCCGGAGGTGGATGTTTCTTTGCTTTCATCCCTTCAAAGAAGTTCCTCACTTCGGCTCGCGCGATCTTGGCGTTCTCCTCCGGGGTCCTCTCGTATGGTAACTTCTCTAGAGTCTTCAGAGAAGGACCGAATCTATATTGCCTCCCGCCTCTGGCTGTACTGCTAGACGCCGGCAGAGCAGACGGAGCGGCTGCAGCTGTCTTCTTTCCTTGCTTACGAGGCAGCGGAGGACTATGACGCGCCGGAGCAGCCGGAGCGGTGGCGGATCTCTTCCGCCCCTGCTGATGAGGCGGAGAAGGAGGAGGCTGGCTGTTCGGGCGCGCCGACGCAGGCGGAGAAGGAGGCGGAGTGCCGCCATGCGCCGGAGAAGGAGGCTGAGTGCCCTGATCACTCGCCGGAGGAGGAGGCGGAGTGCCCTGACTCACTGGAGGAGGAGGAGGAGGAGGCGGAGGTGTCCAGTTCAGAAGCTTGATGAGATCCTTCCGCCATAGGCATGGAGTCAATAGACAAGAACCCAGCCGAGTCTCCCCTTCACTGGTAGGGTAGTCAAGCTGGAGGTCCTCAAATCCCTCCGTTATTTCGTCCACCGTCACCCTGGCATATCCTTCTGGAATCGGACTACAGTGAAAAGTTGCGTCGGGTTCAGTAGGTCGAACAGAGCCGACAACCGCCTTGACTTTGAAGTTTTGTCATTGCGTCATAAGGTGGCTATGTTGAGACTCCGTGATAGCATCCACGGGGTAGCTAGCAGGAGGCGTCAAGACATGCTCCGGCTGAAGCAGCTCGGTGGAAGCCACGCTGCTTCTCCGCTGAGATGGCGGGGTAGCTTCGGGGGTAGTTTCGGCAGGTCGCTTGCTGCGAGCTACTTCTCGTTCCTCTAGCACTTGAACCCTTTCGTGCAGCCGTCTGAATTTGGGCATGCTCCACTTTTTTCCTCCTCTCCTGGCATTTGTAACCGCCTGCGTCCGGAAAACCAGCCTTCCACGGAATGGAGCCTGGCGTGCCTCGTGTCCGTCCAGGGTGCTCAGGATTCCCGAGGGCCATTGTGAGATCGTTGTTCTCTCTGTCTGGAACGAACGTCCCTTGTTGCGCTGCATCGATATAGTGCTTTAGCTTCTTTACTGGTATGTTCATTTGCTTGTCCGTCCAAACGCATTTCCCTGATACATGGTCCAAGGTTCCGCCAGCCCCAAAGAACCAAGTCCGGCAACGGTCTGGCCAGTTCATTGTCTCTGGTTCGATCCCTTTATCAAGCAGATCATTCTCAGCCTTGGCCCACTTAGGCCAGGCTTTGAGGTAGCCACCTGACCCTATGCGATGGTGAAGCTTCTTCTTTGCATCATTTTTCTTGTTTGTCGCCGACATCTTCTTACTCTTTTCCGATGTCTTGTAGGCCACAAATGCGGGCCAGTGATCTCTAATCTTCTCATATTTGTCGATGAATTCTGGTGTCTCTTCTTTGTTGACAAACGTTTTCAGCTCATTCTTCCATCTCCTGAATAGGTCTGCCATCTTCTTAAGAGCATGAGACTTGATTAATTGCTCTTTAACTAGCTTCTCCGGATCCTCCTCTAGCGGTAGGGTGAAATTTGC